CACTAAGAAGACAATCAGGCATGTGGTCCATGATCTGAAATATGTATGTGGATATGCGAGGCGATAACAACCAACTGCTAGTCGCTGACTTTGGTGCATGATGGCTAGTGCTGCAGCTAGCGTCCTATATTTGTACTATTATGACAGGTTAGGGCATAGGGTGCCATTGATAGACAACGGCTGTGTACAGAAACGGTCTGATAAAGAAAGCTGTTAGCAGCATTCTCTTATGTACAGCTGTGCTTCCAGCAGGCCAACCAGTGTCAACACAAGGTATCATTAAACAGCCAGCCAACATGTTCACATGCAGGACGAGCAAGGGTTAAAGGGGAAGTATACCCTAAAATCAAATTTTCACCAGTTGTAGTCTTCTGGGTGCCGAGTCGAATGGTCTTGGTCCGAGGAAGCTGCGACGCTCCCTTCCTACTTGAATCCCAATCGAACTCGCGCACTTCCACCGAAACTGGGTGACTGCGCCCTACTAGATGGGGATTTGTATGCAAAATGTCACTAAAAGCGCCATTTCATTCTTATAAAAGCACGGATGACCGCGATTGGCCCATATGTTGTAGTCTTTTGGACGCTGAGTCGACTGGTTTTGGTCCGAAAAGGCTGCGATGCAGCGTTCCTCCTTTATTCCCAATCGAACATGGTTGAACAAGCGGTCACGTGCTCCTGGGTGCCCAAATCACCTGGTCACCGCGCCAGCAGGCGACAACTTTCACACCAAGGTTCAACTCGAGTTCAACTCGAGTGACAGGACTGTACCCAAAAAAGGTCAAACAGGCTAGTAAGTTGTACCCTGCAGGCACGGTGACCAGGTGACTGGTGTACGCAGGACCACGTGACCACTTGTTCAACCATGTTCGATTGGGAATAAAGGAGGAACGCTGCATCGCAGCCTTTTCGGACCAAAACCAGTCGACTCAGCGTCCAAAAGACTACAACATATGGGCCAATCGCGGTCATCCGTGCTTTTATAAGAACGAAATGGCGCTTTTAGTGACATTTTGCATACAAATCCCCATCTAGTAGGGCGCAGTCACCCAGTTTCGGTGGAAGTGCGCGAGTTCGATTGGGATTCTAGTAGGAAGGGAGCGCCTCAGCTTCCTCGGACCAAGACCATTCGACTCAGCACCCCGAAGACTACAACTGGTGAAAATTTGATTTTAGGGTATACTTCCCCTTTAAATCTAAAACTTAACACCCATGCTGGAGGCACTGAGACTTGTTTCAACGTTCAACATTTGAGAAAGTCATGATAACATACATGATACGATATGACATGAACATGATAGGTTTTTTAATATAATTATATCACCATACAAATAATGTTCATAAGTTTGAGGGACTGAGATGGGAATACAGAATTACGATGATGAGTGGTTGTACTTACTCCATCACCAGTTGTGCCTGCAAGATCCTTCAAGTAGAATGTCTTGTCAGCCAGGTTGTAATACACTGCAGCATGCTTTGGCTCCACTCCAGTCTGACATGCGCACACCATTGAGCAGAGCGCACAGAGTAAAGGAGAACCGTGAGCAAAATCACAACAGAACCAGATGTTGTCATGCTCTCGGCATCAATCACAATGCCGGGTTGTATTCATTATCAGTGTGCGAAGGAGAAGCGAACGGGAGTCCCAGTATACTGCGCTGAGAGTGGAATTGGCAGGTAGAATCTAGCACAGGGTCGAACAGCTCGTGAAAATGGAGCAGACGTGCCTCAACCAAATGCTACTCAAGAGCCAGAGTAAAGCTTCTGGAAAGGTGTGCTAAACTCATCAAAGTAAATGTACTACACGAGATACTCAGTCCATGTGGGCACTACTGTAAGAGAGTGTGGGACCACAACACACAAGACAGTGTATGTGATCATTTCGGACACAATCGATGTTCCTGCCAAGGTTCACTGTGAAAAAGATAAACTTCTCGGCACCTGTTCTGGCATTAAGGCCGGAGCAAGGGGAATATGTTCTGCCTTGGTTCACAACTACTAGTACTGTAAAAGCCATTATTCTAACGAGGCGCATATATAACGATTCCCTAAAATTGACCAGTTTACGTGTATCAAAGGCAACGATTCTCACTCATTCTCAGCGCTCAATAGCAACAATATGTATTGATTTCTGTCGAACGTTTTCTATTTTAACGACAGATTTCTCCTCGTTGATTCGTTAGAGTTAGCACTTCGTTATATAATATATATATGGCTTTTACAGGAACTCATAAGGGCGCATGCAGCTCAATTAGGGATTGCACCCGAGACGTCTTTCAGATCCGTGCTATTATTCAGGGCCGCCAGAAGCAGTTTTCAATTGGTCCGGTCGTACCAGACCGTGAGAGTCTTTCATACCAAAGTTTGTGTATAATACATGTATGGCGGGAACGTATGCCCTCCTCACCAGTAAACATGCGTTGGTAGCTACAAAGTTGGTCCGGTGTTAACCTGACCAACCGGACCAGTTCCGGTGGGCATGTTATTGTTCCAGTTTCTTCGACTTCCATGATAATTATATTTCTCCAGGAAGTGGTCGAGAATGGGAATGCACCCCTACTCTCATACTGGCTGCTGCACATGTACATTGCAATTGCAATCACCTTCATGCACGGAGTCCATTGCCCACTAGCACTGCACAAGTAGCTTTCCTCGCAGCACACCGTCATCGTGAGCAAATTGGCGATGGTGTCGGGCAGTGAATAGCATGCAGACATGGCGCGCTGACATGTACCTCATGTCAAAAAATTGTTCCGGCGTTATCTTGGTTTGTGAGCTGTTTTGCAATAACAAAGCATTTTTTGACTGCTCTATTTATGATAACTACGTGGTTACTACAGCCTGGCAGCCAAAACGACATAAGAAGGTAAGTGGTAAAAAAATTCAAGCCAGAAACTAAAAACAACGTTTGACTCAACTTCGTCTTGACTTTCCCAAAACTGGCAAAAGATACTTCGATTGCTTCACAACCTCTTGACCCCAGTAGTTGAAAAAAATATTCCGAAATTCGGAATGTAGAACTGGGGCCTCTACAAATAAGACAACTATACGTTCGGATTTTGCAACAATTATTTCAAAAATAATAATTATTACGTTTGATTGCACAAGTGGAATACAAAACAGGACCGACACATCCTAACTGATGATTCACACGACCCCTCAGGAAGTAGTTCTCCACTCCAGTCGACTAGTCACACACGAGTCATGGCGGGAGTAATCATTAATCCCTACGGACACAGCGCGTGTGATACTGATAGCGGGTACTTTGCAAAGCGTACAGCAGCTGCTAACGGTTATCTTGAAATGTTCCACTTTACTTCCAGCTGACCTCCATGAAGGAAGCAACGCCACTAAACTATTGTTACCTTGATGGGAATGTCGCATCCTTCTCGTCCGATCGTCACAGGTTTATCCTGCCGTAATTTTGTTTGCGACACACGACACGACAAGACCCAATCCTCCATGCTGCTGCTACCACTGCCTGGAGTCTGAAGTGGCGATCTCGAGAGGAAGTAATATTTCAGGCCATTCAAAAATCAACGACTATGCATCGCACTGTCACAATCACGATGAGTCGTCTATCGTGTCACTACGAGCAGGCAGGTAGCGGTTGGGCCCTCTACTGGCTCTAGTACACGTACAAGGCGGACCTAGGCCAGCTACAAGTAGGGCTGCTACTAGTACTACAGTACAGGAGTTGTTGTGGCCGGATAGCCTGACCTTTCCAGCAGATCAAGGACAAGGACAAGGTCTAGCCTCGAAATTTTATTTTGACATCTCGTTCAGCTGCGCCGCATCACTCAGCTGACATGATCAGGCGTACATAGATCTACTCGTGTTGCATGTGCCTGATGTGGGGATTGTGGCGAGTGCATGACAACGGTGGGGCAGAGTGTAACTCCGAGTCGAGTGTCGGGCTGAGTAGCCCTTGTTGGATAATGCCGGCAATATTATTTTGGTACTTGTTCTGGTATGTTTCATGCATGTAACTAACTAATACTTGTTTGGTATGTGGATGAAGAACTAGAGCAGGGATTCGGAAGTGCCTGCCATAACTAAAAAGAAAAGGTCGGGGGGGGGGGGGGGTTCTGCCAATTTCACTGCTTTTCCAGCAGAATCTGCCAAATATTTTTCGAGCAGTATCCGCCAAGGGCTAGGTAGGTCTACTACTACTAGTACTAGGTGACTAGGTGACTAGTGAGTAGTGTCAGCACCATGGCATAACCAAGTCCATGATAACCATGATAACAGTGTACATAATTAATTGCATCGATGATCGTAGTATACGTGAAACTCAGAGTTGTAACAGAGCTTCCTTCTCTTATGATAACAGTGTACATGTACATGTATCTGGAGACCAGGGAAACAGCAACACTGCCAACACTGGCAACAGCAACTGCATGCACTGACTGCCGGAGTCTCACTACTAAGTACTAGCACTGACTGTCTGTCGATGTGATTTGGCCAGCTGAGCGAAGCAGAATCTCTTGCTTGAGGCTGAGCGGTAAGAAACGGAGGAATCCCATCCAACTGCCTTGTGCATGACTTTCGGCCACGGTTAAAGGGGAAGTTAAGGCAAAAATTAAAATTTCACCAGTTGTAGTCTTCGGGGTGCTGAGTCGAATGGTCTTGGTCCGAGGAAGCTGAGACGCTCCCTTCCTACTTGAATCCCAATCGAACTCGCGCACTTCCACCGAAACTGGGTGACTGCGCCCTACTAGATGGGGATTTGTATGCAAAATGTCACTAAAAGCGCCATTTCGTTCTTATAAAAGCACGGATGACCGCGATTGGCCCATATGTTGTAGTCTTTTGGACGCTGAGTCGACTGGTTTTGGTCCGAAAAGGCTGCGATGCAGCGTTCCTCCTTTATTCCCAATCGAACATGGTTGAAGAAGCGGTCACGTGGTCCTGGGTGCCCAAATCACCTGGTTCACCGTGCCTGCAGGGTACAACTTACTAGCCTGTTTGACCTTTTTTGGGTGCAGTCCTGTCACTCGAGT